GAACATATTTATATCCTTCGGTTTTTTTTTCTTTTTCGGGCAAAATGTAAATAGAAAATATAAGGACATGCATATGCTACTTTATCATTACGCAAAAGTATTTAATTTAAAAACTATAAGACATACATTAGAATCTGGTCTGCTATATGAAAATTAACATATTACATTATGAACATAAAATAATTATATTATTTTTACAATTACGGTTATAATTATTGTTATTGTTATTGTTGTATTACACATTTGTACTATAAATTCTGAGTAAGATAAAACCAAATTTGATTCAATCCATCTAATGTAACAAATTGTAGTGATGTTATTAAATTGCCAGTTGAAAAATTAAAAATCTTTGAATAACTAGAATTTAAACTATGGAAAATTAAATACCAAATGCAAAAATATGTAAATTTTGTTCTGTAAATTTTAAAGTCACATAGTGTGAATAATTTTATAACTTTCACCTAAATTTTTCTTAATTACAAATCGTACGATCGAAATACCAAATTTATAATATATTTTTAAAAATGACGCGAATTTATAACATATTTTTAAAATCGACTCAACTTTTAGCTATTGAATTGTAATAATATTTGAAACCACTATAAATTATTTTGGTTTTTATCCTCTAAAATACAATGTAATCAAACAAAAAAAATTGTTTGTAAAAAAACGTCGTTATTTATGTTCCTATATATAGTTATTTATTGTCATATGACTTTTATTATCATTTGAATTTCAGAATAATGAATTTCAAAAGAATAAAAAAAATGTATTTATTTTTGAAAATAAAAACGTATTTTTTAACATTAAAAATGTAAATAATTACAGTTGTATTGATTTGCACATATGAACACAATTTTTCTTAACTGATATTAAAATCAGGCAGTTAAGAAAAATCTGGGCCTGATTTTTTTAAGAGGCTGTAGCTTGAAAACGGACATATCTACATCCCCTCTTCCCTCATCAATGCGATTTTTCCCTCGTATAGAACTAAAACGAGAAGTGTAGTGAACCCTAGCATGAACCCTAACATCATACGATATGTACATATACCTTTCTTCACTTTTCTGATACTGGTACATATGTACATACATGAATGTAAAGATTAAAAAGTGTATGCAATAAATTTTACGTAGAGCACAATTTTTTCGTGGGAATACCAAATATGAATGCATCATATAAAAAGAAAAGATGTACTGAAATACCAAAATACTTGCATCCCTTAAAAACATTTTGTTCAGTTAAATAGTATATTTAAGGGTAATAAAAAACTTTTTTTTAGACCGAAATGTACGTGACCAGATTAAACGATAAAGATAAAATTTTTGCTATAGTTTAGATTTAGAGTATTGAAAAAAAATTATAAGTATAAATAACATATCATAGCAAAAATAAATATTGATAATAATATAAATAATGATTAGAAACCCAAAAAAGAGGCAGCAAATTAATAACAGTTGCTGTTATTAATTTATAAACCACGTGAACTCTATTTACTTTAAATTCATATATGTATGTAATTATTAAACAGCTTCATTACAAGGCCATTATTCTGCCATCATGTCCCATCAATTCAAACTAAAATATGCTAAAACTTTATCTAATCAAACTTAGCAACAGGATCACCATTTTAAAAAATGCTAGTGAAGGGTGAATGAATTATTTTATCAGCTGGATCATTTTATCATCATTTCATATACAAGTTAACGAGTTTAATCGTTCGAATCTTTATTGTGCTTCTATTAAATTACAAATTAAACTTAAACTCTATTCTATAAATTGATTCTATTTATACTAATTAACTAATTACTTTGCATTTTAAAAGTGTGAGAAATAATTGTGTTAAGTATGCAAAGTAAGCAATAAAAATTTAAAATTAAAATTTACTTAAAAAATAAAAGTTTTTAAGTTAAAATTATGAAAAAAATGGAAATTTCTGTAAAAAAATTCTTCTTACAGAAATTTTTAAACTTTAATCGCTAACTCTTCCGCTCTTAAGGAAGGAGCATCCTGAAAAAGCAATGAAGCCAAATTTTTTCTAGTTGTCTCTTTCTTTGTTTCGAGCATTGTCAAAGTCGCAACAGGAGCGTATTTACGTTATTTTCTTCTTTGGCCCCTACTATAAAATATGTGTAATTTATAAGAAGAATATGTTAAAAATTTTTTTTGAAAGTAAAAACTAAAAAATATTACAAATTGTTTTTTAGCACTTTTTCAAAAAATTTTTGAAAAAAAGTGCTTATTAGTTTCACTCTGTCCGTCCGTCCGTCCGTCCGTCCGTCCGACCGTCCGTCCGTCCGTCTGTCCGTGTGTCTGTTTACAAAACTTCTACACCCTTGAAGATAGAAAGCTGAAATTTTGTATGTACATAGATCTTTACTAGAAACTTATTTCCGTAGAACAAAATTTTTACCTATCTCCCCCCCTCTAGAAGTTATACCCTTCCAAAACCTTAAAAATAGCCTTTTTTAACTATTTGTTGCAATGAAACCATAAGCATTTTTAAAATTTTGCAAACGCATAAAGACAGCGGCTTGCTTCCCCTAGCGCGATATACTATAGTTAAACTTTAGAAAAACAAAATGGCCGTTCAAATTTACCGTTATCTTAAGTCTTTTTTTTCCAAATTTTTGATTTCGTTTTTCTCCTAGACCCCAGCCTGTAGAAGCTTTAAATTTTAGGGGCTTATAGACATTAACAAATAGTTTATTTCGTTAGAAGAAAATTTTTTTCCATCTCCACCCCCTCTCAAGTTATCGCCTCTTGAAATTTGTAAAATTTGAATTTTTGGCGGCTTATATTTCCAAAATCGCAAACGTTTTCAAATTTCTATAAACATAAAAAGTTAGCGGTAAATTCCGTGACATTAAAAAATATAATTATTTTTCTTAACTCACACAATTAACCCTTAAAATCGAGCATTATGTTAACCCCTCTTTATATTAATTTTTGCTTAATTTCAAAGACTGCATGAATGCATCATCCTAAATATATGCAATCCTAGAAATAGTTAAATATGAATGAAAATAATTTTAATAGTGTGATAAGTATGCATAGACTGTATTTAAAAGCAGAATTTTCACTTGATGAAGGGAAAAGTGCTACAATACAAACCATTGGTTTGACCCAACTTTATTTTTTCTTTGAATTAATTTATTTTATAAATTACAAATATTTATAAGTATTTAAATATCACAATATTTTATGACTCTCTAAAATGAACATATTTTGTTAAAAAATTTCTTATATTATCAGTTTTGTTTGACAATTTTACTGAACAACTCTAAACAATATTAATAACAATAAATATAAATACATATAATTAGTGAAATATTCACCCTATAAAAGGAAATATATTTCATTTCATCATTTCGTTTTATCATTTTTAGGAAAACTTATTCAAAAAAAAAAAATCATTTAAATTATTTATTTGTATGCCACACTTTATTAAACACAAACTCTTTTTGCTTATCAGAAGTAATTTTAATAAACAAAAACAAATGTTTTCTTTGCAAAATTAAAAACTTAATAATATTACAAATTATAAATTAATCAAAGCACTATTGAATAAATTTTTCTTTTAATTATTGAAATGATTATATTCACATGTAAATAGTGTAAAAAATTATTTGTTTTTGCAAGTGGGGATATCAATGTAGAACTATACACCTTTCTATTTTTTTCATTTGATATATTTTTTTTATAACTTTTTATTCTTTAATATTCTTTTTTTAATACTTATTATTAAATATTTTATGATTCTTTATTTAAAAACTGCACTATTTTAATAAATAAAATAACAAAATCTTCATTGTTTACTTTTTATATAGCGCCGCGTAATTTTCTAAGAAAAAATAACATCAGCATTTTTGGCATTTAATGTTCTTTTCAGTTTAACAATGCATGGAGCAAAAAAAGAGATTTACCTGTAGTTTTTATTTAGTCTTACTGTTTTTTTTTCAAGATACGATTTTTAGGGAGTGTAAGCGAGATAGAAACAAATATGCTGTTTCCTTTGGTATTTCTAATTCGTTGTGTTATATTACATTTTCAGCAATTTGTCGTTTAGATCTCTCTGGAAAACTGCGTTTTAGAATATTCAGTACTAACTTAGTACTAAATGTGTCCTGTTTTTCAATAATGTAAAAAAATTTATTTGAATTTCGAAGTTTGAAATGCGGTACTATTTTTGCAGATTATTTTATAATTACAACTGCGTATTAAGTTTTTTAAGATATATGCGCGATTAAACTCAGTTTAGATTTTACTTCTGCGGAAACTATTTTTTACTTAAAAAAAAGAATGTTTAGGAGTTATTAGTTTAAATTTCTTTTAAGTTTTGTTATTAATTTAAAAAGAAACTTAAATTTGTATTTCAGTGAACTGGAAGTAATTAGATATTTAATATTGTGGTTTCATGAAACTTTAAAAAACATATCACAACCTTAGAACTTTCGGAATCAAAAAAATTTTTTTATGCTAATGTCAAATTTTTAGTTTTTGTAGCGGCGTCTTTCTGTTGTATAAGTTATTTAAGCTCAAAGTTAGAAACGCATAAATATATTCCGTTATCAAAAACACCCAAAATCAGTTCCAAAATCGAAAAATAAGTGACGACCGAACTCAAGTATGTCAAAACCATAAATCTGACCTAAAGTCCGAGTCATTTGTGTCATGACTTTACTTTTTAGAAAACCTTGCGAAAGCTATTTTTCCGCCCAAAAGACAATTGTTTAAAGATTGTTTTTTATAAGTTCGAATATTTTTCGGTAATAAAACCAATTTTTACTTGATAAAGCTATTGTACTTTTCATAGACCATTTGTTGACGAAATCTTAGGTATAATTCAATACTTTTGAAGAGTTTTTTATTGTAAGCTGGACGTCTCTTATTTTAGTTTTATTTTTATTCTTGAAACTTACCATAAATAATATAAAATTTTAACATTTATTTAAAATTAAATAAAAACACTCACGTTAAGCTCTCAATTGTACTTTCAGATTTTCGCATTAATCATTACTGTGGAGAACACTTAGAAATTGGTTATGAATTATCATCAAAAGAACAAATGGAGCAACATGGCAGTAGTAGCATTAACAAGATTGGCGAACCAATTGTAGAGGCAAGAGTTGTTAGGGAATCATCAGCAAAAGATCATAACTTAGCATATCATTCTGTAAAAATTTTAAAGACAGACAACGTTTTAGATGGGTTAACCAATTTAGAAATACAACAATTGTCAAATCAAAATGCGCCACCTATATTATCACCAACTTCAATTAGTGATTCTAGAAAACGTAAAATAAAAATTCATAATGCTGTGATAGAAAAATCTGAAGTAAAAGATAACGGAGTATATTCTCGGGTAACAGCGCTTTGGCTTCTGTCAATAAAGTTTAAATTATTAACATTTTCCAAATTTAGGATTTTAAAATACTTAAGATCATCCCAAGTAACATTGATGACATAAATGATTTAAATAGGATTGGGGATGAAATCTATATTCGTAAGGATTTTGAGGAAGAAAGTTCTGTAGAAAAACAAGTCGCAGAATACTATACGCCGCTGAGCTCGGCAAATTCATTCGTTCCACATAGCATTTCGTCAACTTTAACAACTCGTTTGAAAACTCAGCAGCATAATTTACTGCCATCAGTTACAAAGCCGTTACAAACATCATATTCAACTTCCGAAGGCACTACAGTGTTGCATTACCCAGCACCTAATTATCCCGAAACTCCTAGTAATAAAGATTTCGATGACAATAGCAGTTCCATAGGAACAGAAGAAGATATAAATTTACTTTATACAAATAATGGTAATGTCACTAACTTTAAAAATTACACAATCACAATACGTGAGGGTGATCAATATGTGATAGTGTTCCCAACAATAGCCGTTCCTCCATCTAAAGGTGCATTTTTCCCGCCCAAAAATTTAGTTTTTGGAAAAGAAACATTTAAAATGAAAGATCAATATCATGAATCATTACAAACCACGTCATATGTAACAACGACAACACCATTTAAACAAGTAACATTAAACGAATTGAATGAAACTGCTGATAATATTAAGATTAGTAAGCAGAGCAATTTAAGCAAAGTTGAAAAAGAAAACGCATTTTTCATAAGTTCTACTACAACAACTTTCGACATGCCAGCTATTTCTTCGGCAATGGCAATAGATTTTAGCAATGATTTAACTAGTTCTCATTCGACAAATGCAACTACTATGTCAACTACCGACTTGACATCATCTACTTCATCTGAAAGTAGTGAGAATTATTATTTGTATTCAAATTTGTCGTCACATCATAACAAGCAATCACTTTTTATTTACTTAAGAATTAATTTTTAACCTTAGTTTTCATTCTTATTTTATCAAAATTTATTCATAAATTTTACGGACTTTGGAAAAAATGAAGCTGGGTGCACTACTGCATTAAGGTGGCATTTATTCTTACAATTCAACATTTCAATTTAACTTTTATGTAGTGAAAGTTTAAACATACCAAAACTTTTAAATGTTAAATTTTCTTACATTTTACCTTTCAAAATTTTAAACCAAAGAGCGACAACATTTAAATAACTTATCATAAAATTAATTCGTAATAACTAGGCATTTTCTTAACCAAAACTTTTCAGAAAATTTTAATCGTTGTCACAAAGTCATGTCACAAAGTTTAATCATGTCACAAAGTTTAAATTGATATTTCACAAATTCTACAATACTAAAATTTTATTTTGGTTGCACAATTTTTTGTAACTTTTATTTTTATTTCGTGATATTTTTAGGTTATTATAATTCTAAATTTTAGTTTTTGTTTGTTATTTTTGAGTTATATTTTGTATTATTGCATCGTTAGTTAATTTATTTAGTTTTGTTCAGCATGATTTAGTTAAATTTTGTTGTTTTATTTTTAGTTTTATAAATTTATTGAAATAAAAATGATACTTTGATTTTTTTTGGCATAATTTTTGAAGTTTATTAGAATCTTTTTAGGGACCTTTTTTTCAGTTTAAAGCAACCTATTTGGGTGCCTAGAAGTAGTTTTTTAGCACCTAAAAATCCGTTCCCTACTTATTATGTACGTTTTTGAAAATTCAGTTATGATTACTTTTAATAGCTAATGGAATTTAATATTAGTAACTAATACGATTCTTCATCAACTACTTGAGTTTATTGACCACACTTAATATATGATTTTTTTATCACTTCTTAAAAGTTTTTAAAAAGCCGTTTGACACTGTTAAACATTTTTTGAACAGGTATAATTGAATCAATGCAAGCCTTACGCTGACAAATTTAAAATATACATAGCTTTAATGTCTGAATCTTATAAAAGCAATGAAAATGTTTCAGTCAACCTTTAAAGATATAAATTGTAAATATATTATCTTGACACTCTGATTATATAATCAAATTCTATTGAATTAGCTGAAAAAATTTTTTGAGACATATTTGAACTATAATTTGGCACTTTGTTATCCAATTTCCTAGTGCCATCGCAATCGCTACCGAATTCCTACCGAATTTACGGGAGCTACCCAACTACCCGGAAGTGCCAAGACATATCACTAAAACTTCTAAAATATATCTGTGCTGCAATTGGATACAAAGTTGCGGCTCTTAATGCACCTTAAAAGGCTTTATTACTTCAAATATTGAAAATTAGTCCTTAGGATCTTATACAGTTATCCAAACCTACCAAGCTATTCTATACAGCAGAAAAAATTTTCAAATTTAAATTACCAACTTCATACAGAATTATTAGTTTAGTAAACACCATTGTTCGAATTTTTTCATTTATTGTTCTAATACAAATTTTCCACCATTGTTCATTTTTCTAATACAAATGTATGAAAAATAATGGGATATAGGGAACAAAATTTTGTTTTTTAAGTTTGTGCTATTTTGATCTATGTATATCCATAAATTTTTGATCCGCGTCATACAAAGCGAAAATTTTTGATCAAAAAAGTGGATATGGATCAAAATCTCACTGAACCATCTCTAATCAATTTGCTATAACTCTCGATTCCTTTGTCGAAATTGAACAAAATTCCTAAAACTATAATAAAACTACTAACAAAAATTTAAGAAATCCCATCGTTTAGTTTTGAAATAATGTGTTGTTAAACTTCAAACGCGATTTTCTCAATTCAAAAGTTATGGCGAATGCATCAAAATAGCACTCAGCCGACGAATATTATTGGTGTAATACGCATTTACTTACATATGTACACATTTATATGTTCTTATGATTGCGTGTTTCAAATAGAATATTGCATGTAGCATCTTATGTAAACAATACTTATTAATCATGTAGATTGTTACAGTATAAAGCAATGTGAAGAACAATTTGTCTGCAATTTCTTCATACCTCTGTAGCTGTAGGTCACTTGGCCGAGTCCAATTGAAGATAAACTGATGTGCTAAAAAGTTGTTGTAAGCAAATTATTTTCTGTTAAATTTGTAAAATAAAAATATACATATATCGGGAAAATATCGCGTGCATTATATTTTGAAAGTGAAGAAACGGTAGTAAAAGAAGAAACGCAAGCTATTCAAAGACGACATATAAGAGATTCAACTAATCCATTGGATTTAGACAACAAAATGTATGTTTATGTACCTATTTTATTTTATTATTTATGTAATATGTACACATTTTTTAGGTTCATCCAGAATTTCAGATTATCATTCCTTGCCAGGTTTAAGTCCTCTTCCATTTTTTCTACTAACCGCGCAATTTGTTTTTTGTTGCTTACGATTTTACTCCTAAATAAAATATATGAATAACATTTTGAAAGAAAATAATTTAGAAAAAATGCCTACATTTTAAAAAAGCAACTAATTACACCAGTTTTCTTGATAAAATAAAGATTTTACAAAAAAAAAAATCTGTCGTCTAAAAATTTGTACCCGCTTTTAAATCGGTGAAAACCCGACAATTTATCGTTTTCATAACACCAGCTAATACGTTTCCTATACAGGGAAAAAAGCTTTCCCGACTCCGATAAAATTTACTGATAAACAATGTTGGTAATACAAACACAAAATTTTGCCGATAAATTATCGTTTATCGGCCGATACTGATATACATAATAGAGGGGGTAAATAAATGTCTGCTTTTATCAAAGATATCAGATGTTTTTTTTTTATTGGTATGAAAGGAAAACTTCTTTTTATTCGGAATAAAATACTTTTCAGAAAAAACACATTTATGAAACGCATCACATAATCAGAGAAGATAACTGAAAGGTATTAAAAGAGGTAAAAGGAAAACACAGGAAAGAAATTCATGAAAGCATGTAGATATACAAATCAAACAAGGACTGCCTACTGAACACGGACGAAGGTAACGCGGCTACATGGCTCTTTAAATTAATTACTTGACCAGTTTTAAGGTTTAAAACAGGTATAAATTTAGTTTGTAACTAATTTTTTTTTTTTCTACTAGGTGAAAAAATCTGGAAAGACGAAGAAGGACGGCTCTATCTGCGTTTCCTCCGACGGTGGGGGAGCGTGACTCCTACCATAAAAAATCACCTAAATTCTGAACGGATAAAACTGGTCCCACAGACCAACTATTACCTCCGCGCTAACTTGGTTTTTCCGTGCAAGAATTAAATACCTTCCATAAGGAAATTGGTATTTCGTGTTAAATCGAATGGTCTTGTTCGTTTAAGTCTTTCTGTCATAACGCCATTGTCTAGCAGCCGAGCTGCTTCCGCATTTACATGCTGTTCTAGACGAGACCTATGCTTTGTAGCACAACTCCTCATGTCATCCACAATCAAAGGAATTCCTAAGTCCCTGTGGATATCACTGTTACGTATATACCATGGCGCATTTACCATGCCCCGTAGAAGGTTTGAATTTTGTTAATGTGAGTCTTCTTGGCACAAACCCACAACAGCTGAATGCCATATCGCCATATTGGTTTAATGATTTTGTTATAAATTAATATCTTATTATCAATTGCCAAATTGGACTTACGGCCTAGGAGCCAATAATTTTCTCTATATTTATTTTCTAATTCTATGTGTTTCTTCTTTATATTCTCTTTCCACCTTAGATTGACATCTTAAGTCATTCCTAGGTATTTTGCTGAGTTATGGATCGCTACGTTCGTTCCATTTACGTTAATTTGTGGTGGATTCACTATTTTCCAATTGGTGAAGTTTATGTGAACCGATTTTGCTTCATTCAACTTCACCCTCCAATCTCCAGTCCAGTGGCTTATTTTGTTTATTGCCTCCTGTAATTTTTTTGTTGAATCGTCAATGTTCGCTCCTACTGCCAATATTGCAGTATCGTCAGCAAAAGTGGCTATCGTAGCATTTTCTATTTGTGGCAAATCACTCGTGCAAAGCAGGTATAACGTTGGGTCCAATATACTGCCTTGAGGCACACCTGCCTTTATTTCTCTGAGCGTGGAGTATTTAGCATCTTGTTTAATTCTAAATAATCTATCAGCTAAGTAAATTCCAAAATTTCTACAAATCATGATGGTAACATTTGCCCTAACTTAAGTATTAACCCTGTTCCACACCTTGTCGAATACCTGTGCTACGTCTAGAAACAGAGAAGAGCAGATTTCCTTATTTTCCAAGCTTTTTTCTATAATATTAGTTATTCTATGGACCTGGTCTATTGTAGAACGGATTCTTCTAAAACCGTGATGGTTCAGTATGAGGCCCCTATTGTCTATTTTTGGCTTCAATCTCCTTAAATGCTATTTATTCAATCTCCTTAATGGCTATTTATTGAATTAATAAATATTTCAAAAAGCTTAGACATCATTGGTAACAGTGAAATGGGCCTGTAAGATTTTGTTTCCCTCAAGGATTTCTCGGGTTTCGGCACCATAATTACCACCGCGACTTTCCAATCACAAGGAACATACCTTAAATCCATAGGTGCATTCATGATTTTCGTCAGATGTTCCAATGCCTCGTCTGGTAGCTCTCCAGTACTTCCGCAGTAATAATATCAAAACCTGGCGATTTTTTCAATTTCAGGGATCTTACCTCTTCCGCAACCTCTAATTGAGTAAGTGGAGCTATGCTGTCTGCTTCATTTACGATAGATTCTACGCATGATATGTTTTCTAGATATGTTTTCCAAGTGATCAGCAAACAATTCGGCCTTCTCTATATTGCTCCTCGCCCAATTGCCAATTGCTTTCATCAGTGGTGGAGCGTGCCTAATCGGTCTCTTTTTGCTTTTTGCCGCCTTGCATAAGGAATAATTCGTTTGCCTCGTAGC